TCGCCCGGCCAAATTAATGTGCTGGGTCATGCAGCTCCCACTGGGCCCATCAGTGAGGACCCCTGTGGGTGGCCATCTCGACAGGGACTCCACAGACTTCTGGCAGGAGTGAAGGGTCAGCATGTCACCTCCTGCCCAAGCTGCGCTAATGTGGGTCTCCACCTCCTGCTCTGGGGCTTCCTCTGTGTCCCCAAGCAGGTTACCAGTCTTGAAGCACTGGAAATTGACACTCTGTGACACCTGTTTGGACCAGAGGGAGGCAGGGGCAGGTGACAATTTATTTGCCTTCTCTTGGCCTGGATCTGCCCTCCGACACAGGCTGCACAGCCTGGAAGGGCACAAGGTCGGGGTATGTGGCACCGCCAGCGGGATGGGGGCCCTCCCATTGCTCTCTCTTCCCTCGTCCCGGCCGCCCTCTCTCCTCCCTGGCCCCCTGCTCCCGTCTGCAGCACAAACAGTGTTCATCTCAGGCTCTGCTTTCTGGAAAGTGAGCACATGCTCTTTGTTCCTTTCCTGCTGCCCCTGCTGCAAAGGGACTGTCGGGAGAAATGACTTCAGAAATTACACCTTTTTAACCACCCCAGCCTTTTTATAGCTACTTGGCACATACTAGATTATCAGAAGGGACTATCATACACTCACTCCCTATTTAGGCTCCTTTTAATTGGGGGCTTATTAAATTCTGAAATGCTACCTTGTTATTAGTGAACATCACCGAGGAAGGATGCCAGGCGTGAGCCACCTGGTGTGCTTCTGAGAGGTGTGCCCCTCCGGCCGCGGCCTCCACTCAGCGGACCCCCAGCATGCACACAAGCCCCAGCTTTCGCTGGAGACGAGGGCTCCTGGAATGCTGTGATTTTAACTTCTTGTGCCACGTCCTTACACGAGGATTTAGCATTTCCTCGTGGTGAAATGGGGATAATATAAAAAGAGGAAGTTTCAAGAAAATGTGCCTGTGTTCTAATGAGCTGAGGAATTTTCTTATTCGTGATTCTCAGGGTCAATGGAGTGGACTACCTTTCCTCACCCAGGACCCTGGTTCCTTCCAGAGGTCCCAGGAATGATGTTGTCTTGATATGTTTGAAGAGGGGAGGCCCAACTGCCTGAGGCAGACAGGCACAGAGCTGGCTTGCTCAGCAGGGACTGGGATTTCAGACAGCTGAAGAAGGAAGGGGCTGTTGTTTTCCTAGACCCTTAGGAGCACATGGAAGAAGGTGCTAGGTCCATGTGGGGCGAGGTGTGTCCGAGGGTCCCAGACAGGAGTGTTTTATGAATGTGCAGTTTAGGGTGGAAGTGGAGCTCGAGCTGACCAGAGGACCTGAGTGGGAACGTCTGTGTCAGGTGCGGCAACAAGGGGCAGACGGCAAGAAACATGGCGAGATTCTTCCGGAAGCAGAATTATCGGGAGTGCTCCTGTTTCCGGTTTTGCTGTGTTGAAACTGAAGATTTTTTTTGCCTCCACTTGTTCCTCCATCAAAGGAGAAATAAGCAAAAGCCCCTGTATGCCGGCCACTGCCGTTTGAGGTGGCCATGGTGATGGGCGCTCCAGATCCGACTGAAAGTATGGGAGGGAAGTCTGCTGATAAAAGGGTAGGGATGCCCCATGTGGGAAGCTCTCAGTGCCTGTGTGCTGGTTTTCTAGAGAATTTGGACAGTATATTCCACACATTCGCTTTGGCCTGGTGACTGTGACAGTGTATTTGGCCGGAGAGCATCTTCCTGCTGTCTGCACGCCCTGACATACTAAGTTGGATTCATGTAAACTGACTGACCCAGTGGCAGTGTTCATGATGTCACAGAACCATTTCTGAAGGTCTCAGAACAGAGCTCGACACTCAGATTCTTGTATCAGGGTTTGCCCTGAAGACAGTTTATCGTGCCCTTTCCCTTTAACATTTCATCTTATTTATCAGTCCAGTTAGAAGAGATGATATTCTTCTGCTCAGTAGGTAACACAGGTTCTCAGGATGCTGAGCTCACGGTGGGGCTGATGGATCGAGGAGGCGGGGTCTTCTCTCACTTGGCAATGACAGTGGGTGGGTGGGGGGATGCTACTTTCTCCCTCAGTGCACTAACTTCTATCATCTTGGAAAAAAGAACTTTTTCCCTACTGGACGTTTGGAGAATGATATCCATCCATTCATCCATCCGTTCATCCACCCATCCCTCCATCCATTTCGGCACAGCCTAGCTATGGGTTTCTTATTTAAATTTCATGAAAGACTCACAGCAATTCTACCACTGATCCCTGGATCATTGGTTTGACTCTGCTGCTTTGTATGAGTCAGATGTCCTTAAAACTTTCTGTGGGTGCTTATGAAGTCGCATTCTCACACAGGACTTTCCCTACCTGCTGAGGGAGGCCCTCGGGAGATTCTGGGAGATGCTCAGGCTCGAGGTTTAAAGGGAAAAGTTCAAAGCTGGGGTCTCTGGATTGGGGTCATGGGTCCACCACTTCCCAGCTGCATGACCTTGATCGAGTCCTCTCTGTTCTCTAGGATGCTGTCTGTAAGGGGGCTGATGGGTGGTGTGTCCCTTGTCAGGGACACTGTCAGAATTCTATGAGTCGACAATGTGTGGGGGGCTGTGGAGTACATCTGGCTGAGGCCCGTGTGAGCTGTGGCCAACCCAACAGCAGGCTGACTTGGACCCTCTTCATTTACCATTTCAACCACCTCACCTGGAGATAAAACAATCGTGTTGACCATCAAGACTCCGGGGGCAGGAAAGCTCCTGGATGAGTCCCCCATGCTGTCAGCCTTTCCTGAAAAATGTCACAAGGTCTCAAAGAATTCTGAAAAAAAAATGCTTTTAATAACTAGTTCTTTTTTGTCAGGATCGTTTTCTGATCCGACATACCACCTCCTTATGACATGTCTCAGCTGCCCTTTGCATCTTTCAGATGAGATCTGACATAAAAACCCTGTCTTAGAAATCCTGGAAAAAGGACTCCTTTTTCTCCTCTGTGCACATTTCAATTTTGGTTTTCTCCAGGCTTCTAAAAAGTCATCTTTTATTAAGTGAAGTATTCATGATATTTGAGAGGTTGTCAGTGTTCAAGGTAGTTGGAGACCGTGGGTTGAGTGTGCACCTATTTTGCAAGCTGTTTAATGGGACTTTATTCAACTCTAGAACACTGGACTTCCATTTTGTGGAATCTGATTTTTTTTTAAATGAGCTGTCTATACATCATGCAGGGAAGGGTGGAGGGTTTGAACATCGCCAATAGCTGCTATGCCGCTGTCTGATCCTCTGCAGTGGTGATCAGATTTCCATCCAGTGCAGCAAACTTGAACTTACTGCTCCATGTTGGAAAAAAAGGAGCTATCAGAATAACACAGGCAAGAAGGAAGGGGCATTTTTACTGGTGCATTTCCTCTCTTTAAGAAAAGTGTGGTTTGGAAGACAGCATGCGTTACAGGCTGGGCACTGTTGAACATGGGGCCATGACGTGGGGACCTCACTGGAGTGTGTTGAAGAACAATTGATGTTTGGCTAAGAACCTTCTTCTTCCGGGGGAATAGGACAGATCTAGCTTTCTGAAGATTCCAGGCATTCAACTTAAATGTGGACAAGGGACCCACACTGATGTAAACCTTCCAACTTGCAACCTTTTCTCCCACTTCCTGCCAGAGAGAAGTGGTTCCACCGTCTCAGAACGGGCAGACCTGGGGACGCATTTACACTCTGCAGTGACTGGGATGGGGCGTGTGCCCACCCTTGTGTGCCGGGGTTGGTAATAAACAGGAGACTTGACTTTGCCTCTCTCGGGTTATCATCTGTACAAGGTGATTAGCATGAACAAGAAGGTTAACGTCATTAACAAAAGTCTTAATCATTCACCCTGTTTATTTACACTAGTCAGAACCAAAAAGCAGTGTTTTCCCAATGAAGGTCGACTAAGGGACCTGGGAATCTCTCATGACAACACTGAACACTAATGGGAACTGATGAACCGAGTGTTTATGTCTTTGGTATTATTTTTGGGCTGAAGTCTTAGACTAATATATACATTTTGAGGGCACATGTATTCCCTGGTGGGAATCACCTCTAGTGGTTTTCTCCTTATCCAGTGCTCTGCCGCTCTTTCCAAGGTCCTATGCAGATACTTATGTAACAAGAACAATTCTTGCACTACACTGACCTCTGGGCAAGGAAGTCCCATCTCCGGTCTTGACTGTGACCATGGACAAATCAGTCTCACTACCTGGCTTCACTGTTTGTTTGTTTTTTTTTTTCACCTAAAAGTTAGAGACTTTACATCTCTTCAGTTCTTTTCAACATATTTTCTGATAACTACTAGAACATTTGATTGATAAACTGCTCCTCTGTCCCTGGCCTGGAACAATTCAGAACATCATGTGATTGAAAGCAGTAGCTCAATAGCCACGAGGAAACATGCTCACATGTCTACGTGTGTAACGCCTTTCACACGGCTCCTCACACGCAAACCACCTAGCTTAAACACTCGGGCCTAACCATGAAACCTCTGTATTCTGGTCACCAGGAAAAGCGAATATGCACAGGAAGAGGCATAAACGATGGCAGAAAAATTACTCTACAGGAAGAAAAAATGTGACTCTCGACATAATTTTTTAGTTGATTAAAGTTTATTTCAATAAGACACCGGGTGCCATGATCGGGATGAGAACAGAGGAGCGTAAGGGCCACCGCTGACCCAGGTGACAGTTTCGAGCTTCTCACAATTGTCACATGCCCTCGGCTGTTTCTCTCCCATTTCCAATGAAGTTATGCTTGTCAACAACCGTCTCTCATCTGATGTCCCTTGGCAGGGATGAGGGAGGCTGGCTCGGCCACGTCACTGCACCATTTCTTGGGCTGGTCCTTCCCTGGCCTCACAAGCACCTGGCTTTACCCACCCTTAGCTAAAGCAAGACAGAACTTGATACAATGAAAGAGATGTCCGAAATAATAAGGGACAAAGTAATTCTGAAAATATTTCTTTGATAACATTTTCTTTTCTTTTTTTATGCCTGTAGCGACAAGGTGCTGGGGCAACCAACGGGAAAGACAAGACACCCGGCGAAAATGGTAAGATGTGTGCATAGCCCAGCTACTTCTGTTTTCCCACCTGCGGCCCTGGGCAAGCTCGGGCTGGCGTCGCGCCTTCCATAGAGACCAGCTTACTCTATGTCTGTGCTTCGTCTTGGAGTGGGTTTCAGCAAGACTCTGTGGGCACCATGGTCTGTTTGCCAAGGAAACGGAGCTAGCTCCGCGCAGGGGCAGGAACAGTTTCCCCCGCAAAGGAGGGCTCCCCTTTTGGGCAACATGCTAATTACAATGCAATTATAGTTCTCTGCTTTCTTCATTAGTGTGGGTGAGAAGCATCCCGGTTGTTGTGAGGATAAAATAAGATCAAATGAGAGAAGTGCTCTAAAAACTGTGAAGTGCTTGATTCCTTAAAGGAGGTTTTAAAGTCTGCTTCAGGCCTCCCTGTACACAGAGCCCAGTGCTGGTGCCGGGGAGGGACAGGGTCAGGGAGTGTCCTGCGGTCATTCACCAGAAACTGGGAGCTCCCAGCAGAGAGTGGAGTATTTGCTCCCTGGGGCTCCAGGCTCCACCCTGGCCTTAAACTTTAGGAATGATCCTATTTTATGGATGGGGAAACCAAGGCTCAGAGGGGAGGAGCTGGGAGGTGACCAGCAATGGGAAGAACATGGACTTGGGAGGAGGGGCAGCTGGGAGTAAGGGGTTGTCATGGAGGATGAATATTGAAAAATGCCCAGGGGGCACCAAGAATGTCAGTTGTGGTTCTGGTGAGGTTAGAGTCTGGGTGTTCTCACTTTTTGTTCATTACAAAGTGAACTTGCCCTCTGGGGAGACCTGGGTGGGTGCAGGCTCCTCCCACTGTGGGAAGTGCCAGTCCCCCACGCCAGTTGTAAAGGCTCCCCGGGGGCCTCCGGACCATTTGGGGTGCTCTGTCATGAGTCTGAGCTGGGGCCTGAGCAAAACTCAGGTACTAGAATGTTCCTTTGTACTGTACGCATCTGCACTGTGCTCTCACCCAGCTGTCTCGGGTCACCTGTTAGGTAGGGTCAGGGTGGTGACCCCTGGGCTGAAGGGTCATTATATCAATAAGGAGAGGGTTTGGCGCCCAACAATGTCTTGATCAGAGGCAGCAGAGAGGGTGGGGGAGGAAATACGCTCTTTCAAGAGGCTTTCTTGATGCCCAGGGCTCTTCCTGTCCACTCTGTGTGACCCGGGGGAGGGGGGACTGCCTGCCACGTGGGAGCTTCCCTATTTCCCCAGGTCACAGAGTTGTATCCACGTCTTCACTGGAGCTCATTTCCTTAGAGCCTCAGAGCTTCGGAATCACGGGGCTTCATGGGGAAAGATTCCTGAGAACCCCCACGGCACCCATTCTCCAACCTTTTGTTCCCACAACTTCCTTTCAATGTTTAAAACTTCTCGAGAACCCCAGAGAAGTTTTGCTTATATTGGTTATATCCATAGATGGTTCTCGTATTCAAAATTAATATGGAGAAATTTTTAAAAGGTTTACTTGTTCGTTTATTAAAAACAAAATGATAAACCTATGGCTTGTTAACATAAGTAACATTTAGAAATGAAGAGTAATTATATCTTCTAAAACGGAAATAAAATTTTAGTGAAAGGGTAGCAATGCCTGACATGCCGATCTCTTTCATGTCCCTCTGGCTTCAGTCTGTCATAATATCATAGGCCATGAAGCTGGAAAATTCCACAGCCCACTCATGAGAGAATGAGATTAAAAAAGGCAAAATAAAAAAATAGGAGTATAAATGATCATTTTGGTTTTGAGCGCCCCCTCCCAGGAGGAGCCACCCCCAGGGTGCCTGGGCCACACTTTGGGGACTGATGCTCTAGTGGAACCTCCTGTGTACCCTCGGGGAGTCTGGAGATTGGGCAGGGGGATGCCCGAGAGGGACAGGGTCCCTCGTGTCAGATGTCTCTGTCCCTCAACCTTACCCTGGAGTCACATAGGTTATTCAAAGCATGTCTGTGTGCTCAGTGCCTTGCACCAAAGGGAATTATCAGCACTTACAGAAAGCATTACTTTCTGCCATTCCAAGCCATGGAACTTCTCTTAGTCAAAAATTGATCCATTCTAGTGAAAATGGAGTATGTCTCTTCTGGAGGTAGAAACAGTAATTGAAAGGAAAAATTCAAGATGCTATTGAAGCTCTTCTTTCTGTAACTGTAGATATCAGAGGATACTAATTTCTGAGTAGAAAAAGGGAAATTTAGAATTAGAGATTATTTGATAGAGAATAATCGTGCTATATAACTTCAGCTTATTATTAACATGTACCATAATTTCAGAGAAAACTGTGCATGTATGATACATGTAATGATATTTCATTATAATATTAAGTTTGTGTTTTTGCCTCTAAAAACGAACAAAGACAACAGCTAACAATAATCCAACAAATGCTGGGGTAAAGACTTCTAGAAGCAGTCTAAAAGACGTTTTTCTAAAAATCAAAGTTGCTTAATTTCTCATTCTTAACTTCCTGATATGAGGTGATGATCACCTTGAAATTTCTGTGTTAACCTAATATTACATTCCAGTGAAAATCAAATTATTTTACTCCGTTATCACAGGTGTCTGGAGAGATCTTTTAATGTATATTTCCTACCAATACAAATGGTGCTGCCGACAGGTGTTGAAGAGCAGGGACCCAGGAGAATAGAATCGTGTGAGGCACGGAACACGACAATGTGACAAGATTTGGATAGTAGTCAGTTCATCGTCAGTAGTCAATTAGTCCCAAATTTCATGAGTCATCTATAAGGCAAAGCGTTCTTATTTCAAATATAAATTTAATTTTGGTCTCCATTGAACACTTAAAGCATGAAGGTTACGGAGGGAATTATGAGCGTCTTGAAATGATAATTTGGATCACAGAAGACACAAGTCAGATACATTAAAACTCCAGAGGGATCTAAATTTCGGGGGGAGAGGGCTGCTGGAATTTTATTACATTAAATATATCTCAAGAGGGCCATTGGCTGGAAATCCAGAGTCTTGTTTTGGTTGCCATGGTATTTATTGACGTGAAATATGGCACGGATCTGCTCCAATTCCAGAATGCCCCTGCAATATGACATCTGTCCGCTCTGTACCCAGAATGCTTTTCCACTTTCCGGAGCACTAACCTCTGAAGACACCACACGGCAAATTCAGGTGTTTCGTTTTTTATCACATCTGCAGTTTGGAGAGAGGTTTCTCAGAAAGGTCAGGGTTATTATTATTTTTTAATTACAAATCAGTTCATTAGCATCTTGGTGGTTCAAAGATTTTCATTCCCATATGCGCAAAGCACCTTCGTTGCCTGATTAGTTTAAGCCAAGAAGTTCATTTGCTTCTGACACAACACCCTACTTGAGTGAAACAGCAGTTCACAGCTGCGGTTAAAGCTCATCTGCTGCGTTAAAATTGAACATGTCCACCGATACAGACAGAAATTTCTGCATGCGGAGTACACACCGCCCATCGTCCATTCGGAGACATTCAAAAGATTTGTTTGCATGACAGTTTGCTGGATGTCTTGATCTTGAAACCCATCCAGAGAGACCCCGAGAGTTACACTTTTTATGGACAGAAAAAGTAGAGAAATGCTGGAGGCTGAGTGGCTGCCGGGAGGCTTCTCCTCCGAAGGGAAGGTTTATGAATAACGAACCTCCGGCAGAGCCTGCTCTCGGAGCCTGGAGGCTTGCCCCGGCTAAATTGAATTTCTAAAACAGGAACGCGTTTCTCCTGACTTCATGAGCTGTGATACATGTGTTTCCAAAGAGCTCTGTCTGAAGGTGACTGGCCTAGATGTACCTGATTCCAGTGAAAGGATCCCCTGGAAGCCCAGCTGTCAGTAAATGCCCGGAAGGCAGCATTATTCTGAGCCGTCTGTGGGGCTCACGGCGGTTGTAGTTCCGTGGAGGGGTGAGGAGCTGATCAGACACTCAGGGATGGTATCGAATAGGTGTGCCTATTGTTTTGGAGAGCAGACTGTGGCTTGAGACGTTCCTAGTAGTTGTGGGGACATGCTAGGAGCACAGAGGTTCGTTTGCCTTGATATAAGTATGTGAATCTGAAATGTCGTTGGCCTGGGTACCCTCCCCTCCTTGTTTTGAATATAACCCAAACCATGGAAGTCTATCTCTCCTTCAGGTTGGAGGGCACACACGTGCACACACACTGTGCATTTATTTCTCTACTGTCGGGGTTGATCGAGAAGGGCCCGGTTTGTAGACAGGTAGATACATCACTATTATTACTCAGAGCACGGTTTTTCAAATATGAAATTAAATCCAATATTTATTCCCAAAGCACTTGACACCCTCCTCTTGGCTCTGGGTCCCCCAGTAGATGCTAACATTTTCCCCTTTGGTGCCTGGGTAGATACCTGATGACCTGTCAGTATCTACAAACTGACCTGGGCAGGTTTTGGCCTGGGACCCACCTTGCGATCACTGCTCCTTGGCTTGGGGAAGTGTGTGGGTGAGGCTTCATGTGGGTGGGTGGGAGACCAGCCTGGAGTAGAGGGAGCCATGGTGGGTCCAGGACCAGGGAGTGATGAGCGCTCACCACTGCCCCACTGTAGAGAGAAGGTCAATTCTGGTGCAAGGCTCGGCCAAGCTGCCCTTGCCCCTGAGTATGGAAGGTTGTGATGGAAGGCAAGAGGAGAGAATGCAGTTCTGAGAAAGGCTACAGAGGGCTCGTGCTGTGCATCTGTCTAAAGCACTGATGTGACTTGGTTCTGCTGCAGGAAGGGAACCACAGTCTGCAATGCAGTCCCTCGGCTCTTCCACAGGCCGTGTGCAGGCATCTGGGAGCCCGGGGTTTGTGAGCCTCTACCCCACACGGAGCATCTATGATGCCAGTTCTGCACCAGTCGAAGTAGGAGTGTAGGTGGGAACTTGGCGTCTTAAGCTAAGCCTCTTGGAAAAGAGAAACACAGAGTTTAGGATGTTGAGAGGCAACTTGTATTGGAAGCATGCTGTTTAAAATGTTCACAGCTATACCCGGCTATGGGAAAAGCACATCCCTACAG